CAGTGCCAGAAGATGGGTGAGACCGAGGCCATGCTCAAGCTTGGTGGTGCCATTGCCGGCCTCAAGGCCCAGAGCACCGTCACCTTTGAGTTCTGTGCTCGTGAGGCGTCGCAGATCTTTGGTGGTCTGTCGTACTCTCGCGGTGGCCAGGGCGGCAAGGTTGAGAGACTGTACCGCGACGTCCGCGCATACGCCATTCCCGGTGGTAGTGAGGAGATCATGCTCGACCTGAGCATCCGGCAGAGCATGCGTGTGCACAAGGCACTTGGCATGAAGTTGTGAGCGGCAACGCCGGTGAGAGCAGCGGATGATTAAGAAAGACTATTACGTCATGTATGAATAGATTAGGTTGGATATCTTTTCATTTGTCGGCGCGTTTTGCATGGAGGCAGAGCTCAGTCCAGGAATCTAGATGAATACATGGCTCACATTTATTACTTCATATTTTTTATGCTTTTCGTCTTGGCAGTTTCCCCGCTGACCCAAAGATCAGTCTGCTACGCTTATTCGCTAACTATGGGATACGACGCAGGACAGCGTTCAAGCCAGACGTAGCTTCACATTTCGGTCAGTTCTCAGATCTACGCCTCGGCAGTTGCCAGGGGTTGGAACCCATCGTACCACACTCTCCATGACATTTCAGCCGGCAGCACACAAACTCACAATCCGAGATCTTCATCCTCGATGGGCCACATTCCAGCAACACGAGCTGATGTCTCAGGAACTTCGTTTACGGTTTACCAGTCGACACGACCGATCACGGCGCAAGCCACTACCCTCCCAGCCGGGTCCAACTGGCTTTCCCCCTTGACTCCGGCGCTCCGCCACAAGACTCAATGACACGCTCTGTGGCTTCTCTCAACATCGCGCAACCAACTCATATCCCGTTCCCACCCACCCACACGTGGGGAGATAGGGGGTGCCGTAGATCATGAGAGTGGATGCGGCGTCAAAGGACCGAAAGCGCGTTTATCTCAGTACGGCCAAGCTCCGGAAGAACTTTTACGATTTTCATCGACAATCTGCCGTTTGCGGCCATGAAGCAGATATTTCCTCCTCGTATTCACTCAACAGACGAAAGATTTTGCATGGTTTGAGTTCGGGGCCAATGAGGTTTTGAGGGCAATAAGTCTGATTAATATGAATTTTCTAACTAGATTTTCTTACTAGGTCTTTAAGCTTGTAGTTCATGATGGACACGAAGGAATCCACCAGAATTTCCTCCGGGATGTCATGAGCGGCAGTTGATGACTGAACAATCCCTCTCTTTCCCCATGGACAATCATCCCGGGACCAGGCTGGAATGCTGAGTCCACCGGACTTCGGGAACCGGCTGTCTCACGGCGAGACAGTGGCGATGACGTTCTCATAGGGCTTGGACGTGAGCAAGGCTGTCTTCGGTGCCGAAGAGACATGATCCGGGCCGTACGGATACGCTGGCTTGTCCCTCTCGTTGCCCTGGATTGCAGTCGCCTTCCGTTTCCCCTCGCCAGTCTTGTCTCACTCTGAATCGCCTCGCGCAGAGTCGCAGCGATCACCAACATTCCTCACACCTGAAGATATCCACCAGATCCATCGCGCAATGTCTCACTCTGAACAACTACCTCACCAAACCCACCGCACTTGCCTCTGATCTATCCGGATCCGACGAAATGCTCTTCTCCCCTGGTTCCGTACCTCGCCCGGCGCAACTCTCTTCCCTGGACCACTCGCGTGTAAGCCATGCTCGCTTACAGGTTCATCCCAAAAATACCTCTTCTTCTTACCACATCCGTCCAACTGCCAGTCCCAACTGCCCACTATGGCGTACGCCAAAACGGTCCGAACTGGCAGAGTGCACGAGGAGCTCGCAACATCTTTTGCCGCATGCAGCCATATTCGAGATCTCTGAATTTTCACGATGCTCTTGGCCAAAGATTATCCACTTTGGATGGAGCTCACGAACTGTTCCTGCATGGTTCCACCTACGTTCTCGGTAATGTTCTCAGGAGGATGGGCAGACTTGCACCACACGATCAACGGCTATATCAAGTCTCCTTGAACCCAGCCGATATCAGTCCTTTCTCCTTATCCTCATCACAGCAAACACATCTTCAACACCCCCCTTCTCTCTGAGCTTCTGCTTCAACATTCGCTTTCGTCTTTCGTTTTCTCTAGCTCAAGATCAAGAGTCTAGTCAAACAGAACCAACCACCACTCTCGCTTACATCTACAAACCATCAAGATGGTTTCTCCCGCCATTATCCGCCTCGCCGCGGGTGCCGCCCTCTTGGCCGGTGTCAACGGCCAGTCGACCACCTCGACCACCGTCGTCGCTCCGACTACCACCGTGACGCCCAGCACCACCGTGACCGTGGCTAACCCCACGACCACGGTCACCGGCGGCGGCGGCACCACCACCACTCTGACCTCCTCCGCCAGCTCCAGCAGCACGGCTTCCACCGGCACCTCCATCGTGACCAGTGTCGGCAGCTCTACGGTCACGGTTATTGCTCCCACGAGCACCTCGGTCACCACGGATTCTACCCTCAGCAGCGGCGCCAGCACCGTCCCGAGCACCACCGAGACCTCGACTTCTACCGACTCGACGTCCTCGGACCCCGGCGTCGCCACCACGTCGACCACCACGACCGACGTGGTCACCTCTACCATCCTCACAACCTCGGCCCTCAACACCACCGACCCCGGCGTTCTCCCTACCTTTACCAGTTCTACCGTGACCCTTTCTAATAATAGCACCACCGTCATCCCTGTCCCGGTTGATCCCACCGTCACTACTCCTCCCGTGTTCCCCAACGGGACCGCCCCTATCACCATCCCTCCCCCGGTGACAACCACCACTTGCAACTTTAACGGCACTTGCAATGTCATCACCCTGCCCCCTTGCGTGACGATCACCTCCTGCTACAACGGCTACTGCAAGCCCGTCACCACAATCACCTACCCCCTTCCCCCCGTCGTCACTCCCCCGACAGTGACGACCATCACTCGCTGCAACTTCAACGGCACCTGCTCGACCTACACGCGCCCAGTCTACGTTCCCGCCACGAGCACCCAGGCACCCTTCTACACTGATTGCTCGACCCTTACAAAGACGTACACTACCTGCAACAACGCCGTCTGCAGCACCGTCACCACGACTACTACTTCGTCCTTCACCCGCCAGGGAACTCCTACCCCTACTGGCCCCGGTGGCTCGACTTTGGTCACGAAGCCCTCGAACCCGGCCTCGCCTCCTGTCAACCCGCCTACCAACCCCAGCAACCCTCCTACCAACCCGTCGAACCCTCCCAGCAACCCGTCAAACCCTCCCGCCAACCCTTCCAACCCGCCTAGCAACCCTCCTAGCAACCCTCCTTCCAACCCTCCTTCCAACCCGCCCAGCAACCCTCCTTCCAACCCTCCTTCCAACCCTCCTAGCAACCCTCCTTCAAACCCTCCTTCCAACCCTCCTTCCAACCCTCCTTCCAACCCTCCTTCCAACCCCCCTGCCAGCCCTCCCGCGCAGCCTCCCGCGAACCCCCCTGCCTCCAACCCTCCCTCAAACCCCACCCAGCCTCCCGCCGGCAGCTCTCCCGCGACCACTCCGGCCGTCCCCACCACCGTCAGCGGCACCCGCCCCGGCACCACGTCTCCCACCGCCGTGGTGACGGCCGGCGAGCCCGCTCTGATGGCTGTCAGTGTGATGCCGCTGATGAGCGTTCTTGGTGCGGTTGCTATTGGTATGCTTGTGTTCTTGTAACCTGGACCCTGCAGTGGTTTAGGGACACCATGATCGAGCATAAGTTTGGTGGCACAGGCTTGATAGCAAAAGCTTGATGCGAGAAAGATTTTTCCTTTGTATTGAATGCTCTCGTATGATGAGCTGGAATAGATTTGGTGATAAAATTGGTGGGGAAGACCATGGATGATGGTTTTGTAATGAGGAAGAGAGGGGAGGAGATGGGGAAGAGATAGAATAATGAAAATTATTACTTTACAATGTTTTTGATCAATAGTCCCGATAGCTCGAGTCATTTCTTCGTATAACGGTTAACTTAAGTTTCTCTCGGGTGGTATTGTACGTATCTCAACGTTTAATATCCGTCAAAGGCACAGCATTGTCACTGATTTGAAAGACCGCGAACGATAGTCGATGTTCTGTTTGGAGTCGTATTCATTGATTCTTTCAAGACTGGCCTGGTCGAATTCTTAGTCCCTCTTGATGGTTTCTAGTTTTAGGAATGAACATCGATGAGAGGGAAGTGTTAGTGGTCACCGCATTGCACGTGTCCGGTCGTATTCAGCGATGAATCGATTGATACTTGGAACACATGGGTATTGCAAACGATGTGATAATATAAAAGCACCGATCCACAACAGTTGTCCACAAGATGCATGTATCATTGGTGGCAGCCCGTGTCAGGCACTCAATCGAAGGATGACTGTAGAGATTGAAACAAGATCAAAGAGTCATTTGAGAAACGCTTACAAGAGACTGACGGCACCGACGACAAAACCGAGGCCACGCGAGAGGCAATGCTTTTCTCATGAGCAAATGGTGAAACCCATCTTCCTAAGGCCCGGCTGGAGATTAGCGCACCCACACGTGACTCTGCATCCACACGATATACTAGGCATCTTGGAGCGTGAACCCGGAGACAAGATAGACCTGGGAGAGTACATCGCCAGTACACAGCACCTTAATACCCCTTACACGGTGCATTTATGTGTGCCTCTCAATTAGGCGTGGATGTTGGTCAATTGAGGACCAGCGGGGTGGTTGTGGTTCGCGTGTATGATTGGCCGAAGGTCACCCCGCATCAAGACGGGACGATGACGGATGAGATGGCGATGCCCCGCCGTTCCGCACTCCGCCCGCGTTGAACAAGAGGCGGGGTGAGGACGTCCGGAAGGGAAGCCAAAACAACTGATCAACAACCCAAGGTCCGCTCGAATCTACTTTATCTAAACTTCATCCTTTATGCCCCCGCTTGCATAATCCACTCTTGATATTCAAAATGACCGTCATCCACGTTGTCCAGTTCCAGTTCAAGGAGCTGATTCCAGCGGAGGAGGTCAAGACGGTATGTTTGGCTACAATCCTGCGGACCTGGTGTCAGGGAGCTTAATAGCTTGACTGCAGAAGCACAGGCTAACGCTAAAGACAGATGTGCGATTCCATGTTGGCGCTCAAGGAGAATTGTATCCACCCGACGTCTAGCAAGTCGTACATCAAGTCTCTGGTCGGCGGCCTCGACTGTAGCCCCGAGGGTCTGCAGGACGGCATCACGCACATTTTTGTGGCCGAGTTCGAGAGCGTTGAGGACCGCGATTATTACCTCCACAAGGACCCTGCGCACCAGGCGTTTATGAAGCAGGTTGGGTCGGCTATTATCAAGGCGAGGGTCACTGATTTTAAGCCGGGCGTTTTTTGAGATGTCGTAACTCAGAGGATGGGCAGTATCTTGTCTCAAACCCTGGAATCCAGCTCGTATGTACGAAATACTGTACACGTGAACTGCACAGGAGACTATCGCATGGAATCAAATGCCATCATTGTACATGGGTTAGGTAGATGGGAAATGAACATCATACAGAACGAACCCACGCAACGGGAAGGAGATGCAGGGACGTGGAGGAGAAGCATTCAGGGTCTCTTATTCACAAAAAGATACATGCACTTCGTACCTTTTTCCCAGCCTGAGGGGTCCAAGATGGGTGGGGTCCAATCGCGACAGGAGTCTTATAAACCAATCAAAGCTCGTAGAACGTGTCTGCTCCCGGTGATGCAAGCGGGGCACTCAAGGTACCGGGGTCTACGTCATTGGTAGCGCGGGCAGGTCCAGGGAGGAAGGGACATTGCCCAGTGCTCTTGCCTTGCCCTGAGGTGCTCTGCCCACCCGACGCTCCGTCACCGTCCCCGTTCCTGCCCATCGTTGGTCCCCCCGCCTGCTGCGTGCTCTTCCCCTCCCCCGCCTTGCTCCTGCTCTTTCTGCTCCTGCTGTTCCTTCTGCGTGTCTGCCTCCCACTGTCTACCTATTGTACGTACCTTGAGTAGCTTCTAAGGAAGGTACCCACCCACGCAGCGCTTGCCTTGCTTTCCCACCTCATTCGGTACGAACAGCCCAAGTACCTTGACCTTGGGGCGCTTCACTTTCATGACTTCAGGGGACCAACCTCAGTGTCTCCCTGTCACGCCTGCCTGACGCGAACGTCCAACATCCAGTCACTTGGCTTTCTTCACCCAACTTGGAACTCTGCACATTCCGGCCACACCTCGTCACCCTTTCTTCTTCACACGACGACAAGAAGCGCACATGCGAATTGCTCCCTTTGCGATACCCATTCGACTCTGTGCTAGATACCACCATTCCACCTCCATTGTCTGGCTCTGGAGGTAACGCCCACCTACACACCCGACGACGATACCCGATAGTTTCCGCCTATCGTCTACCACGGAGCGCCCCCAAACCATCTCTGCCCGAAGAGCATCTACTACTTACGAGCAACCGGTTACGAGCACGTCTCGGTCCGAATATCGACACATATAACGTCGACGGCGTCCGCTATCGACCTCATCGACACCCTTTCGCTTCTCCCCAGACACCAACGTCAAATCTAGCAGCCATGGCGCAAGCACCGCGTCCTACCTTCATCAACCTCCCTCCTCCCACCTCCAACCCGGATACTCCATCTGAGATGCCGTACGCTGTCTCGCCTCCTCTCTCCCACTTGTTTCCCAAGCTAATATCTCCCCACACAGCGGCACCCCCACGAGCGCCACGACCTCCCTTTCTGCCCTCTCTACCACCGCTATCAAAGATGGTCACCGAGGCCACTTTCCCCAGGGTCCCGCCGGTGTCCGCGGCCACGCTCACCACCCCTCTACAACGAGCCTCGAGGCCGAGCGCGCCGACAGAATCTCCCGCCTCGCCGGTCTAGAGCGAGTCTCGACTCTACGCGCCCCGCCGCACCAGCAGAATGCCGGTTCCTCAATCTCTCCTCAGACGACCCCCACCTCCACCGGCTTCCCTGCCAACTACCCGCCCAACACTCACCTCACACCCGCATACTTTGATGCCCATGGCCAACCCACCGCTGTTACTAAGATGAGCACTGTCGGTACCGCCAGCGCGACTGAGAGCTATGTCGGTGACGACAACGAGACGCGCACCGCACCTGGCGAGCAGGATGAGGATATGTTCAGCATGGATACCAACTACCGCGAGGCCGACTCGGTTACCAGTATGGGCGCCGAGCCTGAACGCATGGACGAGGACCAGACGGCTGGGTCCACCGGAGGCTACGACGACCGCATGAGCGACGATGGATCCGCCAGCCTTGTTGGTTTCGGCGAGGGCGCCAACAGCACCGTGTCTGGTCCCATTTACCAGCGTCGCCCCATTCCTGGAGTCGCTGGCCAGGCCGGTATCTGGGGTCTGGAGCGAAGTGCCTCTGGTCTGAGTGACGGCTTGCCGACGCAGCGGGCCCGCGACGTCACAATGGGCGGTGATACTCCCACCAGCGCGGCCGCAATGCAGGAAAGACGGGATGCGAGGATGATGGATGGTACGACCAATGATGGTGCCGGTGTACCTAGCGACGAAATGTACGTCGACACCACCAACAAGCCACCTGTCCCTGCTTCCCAGCTCCCCCAGCAATCTTCACAAGCTAACTCCGCCACGACGCCAACAGCTCGTGATACCGCAGAGCGTCTTCTTAGGGAGCGACTTGATGGGGGCGAGGCACGCGTAGGTAACAACGCGCTTGGTAGCCCTCAGGGTGGCGGCGACAAGCTCGGCAAGTTCTACTTTGAGGAGCGGAAATGAGGCACCCCGGTTTCCTTTCTTATTTGATCAAATAGGCGAAGACAGAGCTACGCGGATGATTATATACGGTTCACGACGTTGGGAAATAACTTTGGGAAGAAAACTGGCGGGCTAAAGACTCCGCCCGCATGATTTGGACGGGTTTGTTGCTGGGATTGCAATTGATTTGGCTGGATTATGAATGGCCTAGGTTCGACTAAGACAATGCGAGCTACTGATTATGACTTGTCGGGTTTGATCTTGCGGTGACTGGAGTATCAAGACTCAAGGTACTATATTATTAAGGCAGTTCTTCAACAGCAGCATCACTGGATGACCGGCGTGGGGCATGTCACTCGGTCCCGGCCGTCCGACTCGGTGGCGCACGGCACCCTAGGCGCGGGAACGCTGTCGGAGACGGCATGAGACCCCGCACCTGGTGTGTGTCGGGGAGATCCCGCGGGAGACTGTAGGACGAGTGGGGGGAGCCCGGGACAGATCAACAAGACAATGGGTAGATTACGTCTGTTTCTTATCGAGACGGTGGCTCCGCGGTCGATCGCGCGTGGCGTCTACGGGCAGATGTTCGGACGAAGGGAGGTTCAGGGAGGACGGCTATTCCGCACCCACATGAAGGCTATCCCGCACCCATACTAGGCCTACTCAAGCAAATAGTGGGCTACACGTGACTGTACCGCCGCAGCAGCCACATTGGGCGCGCGCCTTCCTATTATTTCTGTTTTAACGCGTCTTTTTTATCCAACACCTCCTTTTTTAGTCACTTTTGAAGCAGGATAAGTACCTTTTTAAGCACCAAAATATGAGCTCTAGAGAAGTATTTCCCCTGAGCAAAGACTGGCTTCTGAAGTCGTGGTTCTGACTCCGAAAAGCGCGCATAGGCGGCATTATAAAAGAGGGCAAAGTGGAAGGTACACCAGGCAGTAGAAGGTGCAGCAGTGGAGTCAAATGTGGCTGCTGCGGCGGTGCAGTCACGTGTAGCCCACTATTTGCTTGAGTAGGCCTAGTATGGGTGCGGGATAGCCTTCGTGTGGGTGCGGAATAGCCGTACTCGGTTCAGGGGATGCGGCCTTGCTCTTCAGGATCCTTTTTTTGTGTGGAGATTGAACTCTAATGCTCAAGGGAGCTCCATAGTTATATAGGGATGGGTTCTAATTTGTAAGTTGTGGGTTTCTGAGAACTTGGGTTCGATAATATAAGGTAAGCAGCGCATATCGTTTGGATAGACGGTGCCATTTTACTTCCGTTGCTTTTCGGGAGTTCTTTGTCTTTGCGTTTCCACGTTGTACGACTGTGCTGTATTCAACGAGTCTCAATAGCGTTATCTGTTTGAAGTTCAAGTCTGCTTCTGTTGTATGCTGTTCTACGCCGCAGAATTTCATCTTACTACTACTTAAATGAAACCTGAGCAGTTGGCCTAATATTGATACCTGTGTACCTTAGACAGTATAGAAAAGCAACTGCATAGAGGTAGTAAAGTCGGCACCTCGCTTCTACTCCTCGTATTCCGCATTCTTAAAAGCTCGGTTTCTACGGATAGGAAGCTGCCGTCTTCGCCAGAGAGGTCCAAACTACGACCCGATGTGACGCTGACATGCCCTCCCCCAGTGGCTCCCCCGCTGTTCATCGCATCATCCGTACAGCAAACGAGGTCAGCAAACATTGGGCAAGCTTGAATCGATTCAGGGAATTATGGCACGGACCGAGAGTCCCCCCTCCCCTATTCGCGAAGCATCGGGGACCGTGCTACGATTGACTCGGCTGTTGGATATTAACGGGGAAGAATGGCTTGGGGTTCATGGAATGGGGTTTGCGCATATTGGTCTATATTAACAAACCAGGTTTTCGTTAGCGTTCCGGCCTTCCTGGACTGCTTGTTTAGGTAGTCAGTGCGGGTAAGGAAACTCAAAATAAGGTGAATCGTGACGGAGACGTCCCCCCGGCCGGTATTAGTCAACTTCAATAACTGGTGCGGCATATTGCCGCTTGTGTGAACATGCAAACTACGACGGAGGAGGACTTTGAGATTTCATTCAGCGAGGTCCTTATACAGCTGGCTTCCCTCCCTTCGGATCCCGTCACGGTCACTCGTTCGCGGTACGTCGAACATCACATTCGCTCACCCGTGAACCATGCGCCTCTTCAGGACTCTACCGCTAGTCGTCGCGGGACTTATTGCGCCCTGCGTCTCGGGCGCCTTTCCCTCGCCTACATCGCAGGATGCGGCGGCCACGTTCTTGGATCGACTGCTTGTCGACACACGGGGTCTGGGCGATGTTCCTCAACGGCAGCCTTCTTCGCTACTTGTAGATTTGGGCTACGCCAGGTATGAAGGGTACAACAACGCCACCAGCGGCCTCGATATCTGGAAAGGGTAAGATGTTTGTCTATCTGTCTCGTAGACGTCTACTTAAACCCCTCCAGCATCCGCTACGCAGCTCCGCCGACGGGTTCACAGCGCTGGCAACCGCCTCGTCTCCCTTCGTCTAACGACACGGTCACCGGTGGCGCGGTCCCGGTGACGGCAGCAACCGAGTTCGGCCCCGTCTGCCCGCAAAACTACCCCGCCGTCCCGGGTCTCCCCTTCATCCCCGGTGACGAAGATTGTCTTTTCCTAAACGTGTACGCGCCCGCCGACGCCAAGGATTTGCCGGTGCTGGTGTACATCCACGGCGGTGGGTACGGCTACGGTGATGGTAGGATTGACATGTCGGAGATTATTGGGGCGAATGAGGGTGGGTTTGTGGCTGTTGTGATTCAGTACCGGGTATGTTCTTTTGCTTTTCCGTATCCTTTTTCGGGGGTATCTGTCTATTCTTCGCCCGGGATTTGGTGGTGGGTGAGAGAGATCTGTTGAGAGACAGCATACTAACGATGTACAGCTCGGCGCGTTAGGGTTCCTTTCCTCTGCGGACGTCAAGGCTCGCGGTGTCGTGAACGCGGGACTTCTGGACCAGGCTTTTGCGCTTGCTTGGGTCCAGCGCTTCATCGACCTGTTTGGCGGAAATCGTGGAAAGGTCACGGTTGCGGGGGAGTCGGCGGGCGCCGGGTCGGTGATGTATCACACTCTCGCCGTGGACGGTGGTCTGGGGACGACGCTCTTCAAGAACGTAAGTTTTGACAGGCTGCGGGATGGAAGCCTGTGGTGATGATTGGCTGACTCGATTTCGATGCTAGGAAATCGCTGCTTCGCCGTATCTTCCCTTCCATTATGACTATGACGCGGCGTTTCCGACGGCGCGATACCAGGCATTTGCCGAGAAGGCGGGGTGCTCGTCGTCTGTCGATGTTCTTGCGTGCCTTCGTGGGAAGGATAGTATGACGTTGCAGCTTGCTAGTGCGAATACCACGTTTGAACAGCCGTATGGGTTCTGGTAAGTAATCGATTTTCAGGACATGCGGTTCGCCCTTCCTGAACGCGGCTAACTGGACGACGACAGGGCTTTCTACCCTGTGACGGACGGCGTATACATCAAGAGCCTCCCGACTGAGCAGATGAAGCAAAAAAGAGTCAATGGAGAGCGTCTCCTCGTCGGTGTGAGTATCCTCCCCACGAAGCTCCACGTTCTTGGCCGCCAACTGACGAGCCTTGCAAGCATAACGCCAATGAAGGACCCCTCCTCACCCCGCCCAACATCGTCAGCGTCGCAGACTTGACGTCCTGGCTGAAGCTCGAGTTCCCCAACCTCTCGGCGGGCCAAATCGACGAGATCCTCGCCGCGAATCCAACAAAGACAGGCGCGAACGATACCCGCTTCGAGACGAACGGGTTGACGGGGCTTACGGCCCTTGACGTGAGCCAATCTGGGACCGGACAACAGCAGAGAGCAAACGTAAGGAATTCTTGCCATGTCTCGTGGCCCTAAGTCTAACACAATTGCGATAGAACATCTACGCCGAGGCAACATTCGTGTGCCCCAGCTACTGGCTCTCCGACGCCTTCACGTCGCCAAAGTCGTCGTGGCACTACCAGTACTCCGTCCCCTTTGCCTGGCACACGGCCGACATCCCAGGCTACTTTGGCCCCGCGACACCGAACCAGGGCCCGGACATTGTCCTCGCCTTCCGCAAGATCTGGGGTAACTTCATCACGGGCGATGACCCCTCCATCAGCAATGATATCGCCAACGGAGCTTCCGGTGCCGACGCGGGCGCCGAGAATGGGGCGAGCAAGTGGCCTGTCTGGACGGAGGAGGCACCGAAGCAGGTGAACCTGAACCAGACGGGCGGCGTTCCGTACGAGTTTACGACTTCGTGGGGGGCGCGGGTCACGCAGTTCATGGCGCCGGGACAGGTAAATGATATCCGGGTTGTCCCTGCGGATTCGTGGGAGGGTGGACGTGGTGCCAGGTGTGGATTTTGGAGGGGGTTGGCTCCTAGCATTCCGGCGTAGACTAGGCTTGGAGTGCGGAGACTCGAATGGCTTGATGCTGTAGCAATAATCGAAAACGATCAGGTTACAAGAGATTTGATGACGCTCGCGATGGGCGGGATGGACGTGAACAAGACGGTAATGGTGCCGAATAAGCTCATTGACAAGCTTGATAGCGCCGCAGCACGGGGATCGGTTCGCAAGAGGAGAGCGGTGGCGATGGCTGAGGAGTTGGCTCCGAGTGTGACGCCACGGGTGATGTAGTCATCTGTCTTCCTGTAAGTTGCTCATGTTCACTTATTTCATAGCTCACAGCGGGCAGCCTCTTACCTTCTGGAATCTTCATCCAGGCCAACATCCGCTGGCCAACTAGCACACCGACAATACCGCTCATAATAGCTACCGCAGCCACGGTATTCAAATCACCACCCAAGTTCTCCGTTGCAGGTAGAGCCAGCGCAAGCGTCAGACTCCGTGACGCAAACGCGAGAGACCTTTCTGCACTGATGCCGATGGCGAAGCAGATCTTGGGGTACGAGAAGAGGCAGCCTATCGACATGAGGATGTTGGGCAGCACGATCGCCACAAAATTCTGCTTCAGCTCACGGCGGTATTGGTACATTGGCAGCGCAAGCGATACAATACTCGCGTCAAGGACGGTGCTGAAGATGTCGCCGGCGCCGGGGAGGCGGCCTTCCGGGTTCTTGGCGTGGAGCCAGAGGTATGTGTAATTCGCTCCCGTGCGGAAGGATCGGAGCGTCTCAAAGAGGCCTGCGCCTCGGATGGCGGCGAGAGCCCAGATCCCGAGGACGGAGAAGAGGGCGGTGACGAGAACGGGGTGGAGATATTGCCTCCAGTTTGCGGGGACGGACATGGCGGCGAAGTAGACGAGGAGGATGAGGCTTAGGTGGAGGGGCATGGCGTAGCCTGTTGTGCAGTAGAGGGGGATACCGACGAAGGTGAAGATGGAGGCGTAGAGAACCCAGTTGAGGTGACCGCATATCCAGGCTGCCCAGAGCTGGGAGCGTGGCGGGGGGACGGGGTCCTGTGGTGGAAGAGGCGGTGTTGGCGGAGAGGAGGGGATATCGACGTTAATTTCGTGGACTCTCGCGGGAGAGGATGTTCCTGACGGGAGGAAGTTTTGTGAGGCGTTTTGGGAGGGCGGCGGCGGAGCGAGGGTGTTGAGTGAGAGTGAAGACGGGGCCGCGGAGATGGTGCGGGAGCCCGGGACGGAGTCAATTCGCGGAGGGGTGTCGGCGAGGGGAATCTCGTCGGTCTCGTTGCCCATTTCTTCTGCGCGTTCTGTCATTGCGCGTTTGGATGAGCCGAGTAGGAGTTGGAGGCCGCGGGTGAGGTATGCGGCGAGGGCCATCATGACGATGAAGCCGATGACTGAGGGGTGTTAGAACTTAGGTTCATGAAGTACTGGATTCAAGGAGGGAAACTCACTGAAGACGGCAATAATCTTCATGACTTCAACGATGCCGATTGAGGGACTCAAAGGCAGCATGATGAAGGATGGTGTGAAGAAAATGTTGATCCAACGGAGAGACCATCCCGCCTGGTAGTCATTAGCGACTAGCTTCCAGGATTGTCAATCGCATTGCAAAAACCCACCGGCACGTCAATGACGGCAACGATTGCTCTGGTCTTGTGGTTTCCCAGTACCAGCTCCGACAGCAACAGACCGAAGAAGAGCAGAATCAAACAGGCCACAGAGGCAGGGAAAGAAACGCCGACGGCGTCGAAGAAGACGCTTACGCCGAAGCAAGCGGCCAGCATGACCATGATGCCCACGGGCACGTAAAGCCACGAACTGAGGAGTTTCGGAGCCGTTTGGGACGCAGCCTGTCCGAGATGAGTGAGCTACTTTTACAGAAAATGGATGAATCTGTGAGTTGGACATACTAGCTTTACCGCTTGGAGAACATCGATGGATGTCTTGAGCCATTGCGGCTCGTTGCTTGGGCGTTTATTCGAAGTCGTCATTGTCGTTGTGTCTTGGAATGAATCTCATTATAATTGGCAAAAATTCGTGCAATCTGTACACAGAATGAGTGTTAATTTAGTCGCATGTGTTTAACCAAAAATCGAACTTACAATCAAGAGAATTCGACTGAAGTGACGTGTGCGACATGAGCAAGAGTAACAAGGTTCTTAGCTCTCGACTTACGGCTGCTTGCGTCGGACGATATCGCCGTTGAAATTAGTCAGTCCCCTAGTCGCTTTTCCACCCAGCGAAATGCTCCGATGCCGCCCCAAGACAATCAAGGCAAGGCTTTAAACCGGAAATCGAAGCCACTGGGATAAGCATTCGGCGCCGAAATCTTTTCGTTTCCGGCGGTGGGATTTGCTCGTGATAAGGCGCTTTTTCGAGGCTCCGCCGATCGGAAGCCGAGCCGAGCGGGCGGATCTCACCCGAATGACGACGGTCCACTTTGTCTTTGGATTTTAGCTGTATCTTTAGCTTTTATGAAGTGCCCTTCTTTTTCGGATCTCACTTCACAATAGTCAGTCAATGTGAAGTTGTCACGAAACCGTAACTCACATCATGCAGGTCCGAATACCTGGCAGCAACTAGACCGTGATCATCGCTTGGCAACAGTAACGAGGGATGTCCACTTATGTAATGCCATGCATGAGAGCTGAGAGGGTTCCATCGCAGCGCTGTATGCCTGCAAGAATGACGATCAATGGCACCATGTCACGGACTGCAGCAGGAATACTGTGGTTTCCTTGTATTGCAATGATACGGGTTTCTGAGCTAAGGTAATTGCACTTCCTGCCACATACCCTCTCTCAAACCCGAATGCACATGAGCTGAGGCCTTGTTTATGAACTGCGTTGTTCATCTGTAAAGCCGATTCTCACGAAAGCCATGACCATACTGCCGTATCCCTTCTCGATTGCCTCCTTGCCAAACATCCCGCTGTCTTGGATCCTGAGAGACTCTTCCGTGACGGTTTTCAGTCTCAAATTTCCAGGGTCTTGTTCAGGAAATGCGACGCCACCAGGATGCGGAATCGGACGTTGGGGGCTCCATTATACATGGTGCATGTTGAATGGTAGAAATGCTCAGTCAGTATGAGGAAATTGACGACATCTCTAAGAAGAGAGCCATTTGCCTGGTGTCTGGCGGTGTACCGAGTGATCTCCACCCAAGTTCTCTGCTTGTCCTCGAAGACTACGAGATCCTTGTTGGGACGCTTCGCAATGCCTGGTTTCTTATTGTTAATACAGGTGAGGTCAATCACGGGCTCGCCCACAGCGGTGCAAGCACTCACGAAGCCGCTTCTTCATCCACTTCCTCTGCTCAGCCTGACTGCCGCCGCGCAGCTTGACAAGAACGTAGAAGTTCTTGATGTCACGAAGGTTCATGATCATCATACTGAGAGAAGGAATGGAGCAAGGACGAGTAGTGCGTCCAGAGACCTGCCTCATGCCGCAAAGGCGGCTCGAATCGTACATGACGCCAATGTTCTCGATACCAGGAACAAAGAGCTCGCGATTTAGATTCCGCTGGGAGTCGCTGTACCAATTCAGGTGACGTCCCCCATTCTCGCTGAAGATAAGGACCATGAGATCCTTATCCTTGCGCACGCCTTCCTCGGGGCTGTGGGACAAGTCTTGGAAGGAGATACCAATTTGGCGCTCAATGTAGGCTTTGAAGTCGGGAAGGCCCTTGGTGAGCTCAGCGAGGCATTTGTATTTCGAGTGTCTGCCGTCTTTGCCAGTGTTGACGTCGATCAGGCCCGGGTCGTTCTTGTTCGCCTTGCAGTCAGCGTAGATGATGGCAGGCTCGAAGTCGATGTACTCGCAAAGGATCATTGCCTTGATCTCATTAGGGAGACGGGGGAACGGGTGGAAAGTGTCGAAGCGAGGCTTCGGCTTCTGGACCTTTTTGCCCTTCGCGACCTGCTTGGCCTTCAGGACCTTCTTGACCTTCTCAATCTGGGGCTCGGTGGTCGAGGTGTTCGATCCCTTGAGGTTGGGCACAGCAGTGCCAGTCATCTTGCTGACGGCAGCGGTAGCACCGGCACTGTTGATGAGAGCCTGGCTGTGAGCGCGGGTGCGGCGAGCCGGACCCATGATCGGCTTGGAGATGACCTGGCGAGGCATGGCTAGTGATGCTTTTGGCAAATCTCTAGCGAAGCTTTGATGAATGTTAGCAAAGTCGTAGGCAAGAGAGGATATTTTAAAGTGAGGGCAAAGTTGAGAGCGAGAGAGGCACCAGAAGAGAGCTGTACAGCGCGCTTGTCTTCTGTTCTCTCACTCTTTCTTGGAGACTGAGTGAAAAGGCGCAACTGACACCTACTCTCTGTAATTCGACAACGAATTGAGAAAGAACAAAAAGGGAAGGATTGAAAAGGTCAGAGAATATGGGTGTCGCTTGTTGCTTCAGATCAGGGAGACGACTGCCGATGGTCAACAAGAAGAGCGCTGCCAGACCAAAGAGTCGAATTTTGCGACCGCCGGCATAAGACGAGATAAGTGAAGAAATAGAAAAAAACTGACTTACTGTTGTGGTAACTGCGTATCGTATGCGAGGGTTCTGCCAAGATGTCTGTAGGCTGTGAAATTATCAGTTAAGACTCTTGCTCAAGCGACTGAAGCCCCTGCGGATGACGCGTTTTCGTATCCTAGTTTGTGCTGATTTTCTCCGCCAAACGCAAGGGCGCCAGAAGAGAGAAGATTTCAATGTAGAGAGAAGCATACAAAATACTTCCAATTATCGCGATGACGTGGAAGAGATTGTTTACATACCTAGACGATGATGGTTGGTCTTACTGGAGACGGCTGGAGAATGGCCACCAGAAAGATGTCTGGTGGCAGAAGGTTGTAGGAAGAGAAGACTTCGAGGGTAGGGAATCTAATAGATAGAGAGAAGAGCATCAATGGGGTGGATGGGGGTGTGAGGGCCTCATAAGGCCGGGACGATCTCTTGAATTCTAAAGAGGCGGGTAGAGCTGGTGAAATCTGACAAGGCAGTTGCAGGCTACAAAACTAGCCCCATTAGGCGAGTGCAACTGTCAAGACTATCATAAGGCGGGTGCAGTTCCTAAAAGTTGAAAGGGCAGGTGCAAGCAGGAGTCTTTGCAAGGTAGGGAGGACTATGGAGACTTGATTAAGGTCAAGATCATCCTGGGTCATTGGTGACTCTCAATTTCTTTACGAAGCAAGTACATTTGCCAAAATTCACAAGGCGGGGAAGCCTCCTAGGACTTGATTGAGAGCGGGAAGAGTGATGTAAACTTCATCTGGCGAGTGTAACTGCTATGAATCACGATAGTTATCATTATTGTTAAATATAGCACTAGTAGATTTGGCTAGAGTTCATGAATCGTGTGCAGTCAAGAAGGCTTTATCAGCAATGCCGAACTGTGAAGGTATAATATGAAGGTGGGCAGGGTTGTTAATTCTTCGAGAGGCGGTGGAAGAAATTACTTTAAAGTTCTATGAGGCAGGTAGAGTCATCATGCCCATGAAATGAGAACAAAGGGTCGAAGTCATAAATCTGCGGAATCTCACAAGGAACAGTTATTAAGCTACAAAGTAGATATCACCAGTAGCCAAATAGTGTAGGTCCTAGACGATAGGTTGTGTGATTTGTAAGTATTGATAATCCTCATAGCTCAACAGGAGAAACCACTACCCATGATTATTTGGCTTGATATGCTTCTTGCAATTCCTGCCCGCAGATTCAAGCCTATCGGCTTATTTTACTTCGGAGAACTTCTTAGCCTCGGAAGTTTTGAATTTCGACACACTAGAGTAGTATTCTGACAGATCGAGGGTTTTCAAACCTTCAAGAGGGGGATCTCGCAATTTTCTTGCGAAAAAGTCTTTACATCTCATTCAACAATCTGGGTTGTTGTGACATGCTCGAGACCATGTCGTTTACACGGACCTGCCTCTTGACAGCCAATAGTCGAGAACCTCTTTTCATTTCCGCCTAGAAATTGTCTATATGTACATTGAAGGTTGACCATTAATGATATTCTTCCCTCAACAGGAAACCTCGATTTACTTTAGCCAACACGGCTCCTATATCCTTTTCCGCCTCCGGCTGAACGAATTTCAGCAGCCTTTCTTGCTTGAATGCATCCGCTCCACTCTCAAATTCAGTTGCTAGATTTGATTTCATCCAAAGGAACACTTCCTGAAACGCTTTGTTGATCTCACTACAGCCAGCGAGCCCCTCGGAGTTATGTGACGGCTTTCTTGCGAAACTACAACAGTTCTGTACAACCTCTTGTGGTTGGTATTCTGCCGACAGGCAACGCACAAAACCCTGTAAGTTCTCAATAGCGCCCCGATGTTCTAGCTCACCTCTCGACGCGTTTGATGCGACATGAGTACTGGCGTATTTTAACATCTGGTGAAGTTTTGTCTCACAGATAGTACGCAATGCCTTCAAAGTTCCGTTCAAACAAGTGTCGTGTTTCTCTCGAACTCCCAAGAAAGCCTCCACGGCGCCGAAAATAATTTCGTTGTCTCTTCCGCTTGCCATGGATCTTGTGTTGGACTTTTCTAAATGTTCATTTTTTAGTGATTGCAAAGCCTTCAAAGCCTCCGTTTGCCCGTGTACGCAGCAGTGGAAGATAAACGGTTCCAGGCTTGTTCCCGGAAAAGTTGGGGTGAAACACAGGTCGGCAAGCCAATGAATAGCTATCCAGTCTCTGGATGTCAAGCCATCTATATCAGCCTTCCCTAGCGTTCGGAAGATGGTCGTGTTGTCTGAGTAAGGCTTCAAGATAACGCCTAGGGCGAACTCCACAAGCGGCCGCTCCTTTGACCTTGCGTATTCTCGAGTTGCCAGCAAACTTACATCTCGCAGCAAAGGTGCCAAGGCCACTTCCAGCACCAGGATTGGGTCCCTCTCGCCTTCTGCAGCACTTCGGTAGGATGCCTGTCCTGGTGATGAGGTACGAATTCCAAGGTAACGGTAGGATTGGCTTGTGACCATTCTTTCGGCGCTTGCTGCGTTGATGTAAAATTCTCCGCTGCGGCTTGGTGTCCGTAGGAATGTATGAACTGTCTGATGCGACAGCTGAATCGTCCAATCTGGATTCGCGCGCCTGATCCGATGCCTTGAGTCCAGTCCAACCCTTTGCCGATCATCTAAAATCTCTATCAATGGACCGCAATACGTCTGCATGATGCGACAGAATGTTGGCCAGCCGTTTTCTCCAAGCACAATCCTGCGTGAAGCGACGAAATGATGGCTGAATTCTCCACGTTTCTCAACCTCCAGCTGGTCTGGTAGCGCAATTACTTCCCGCAACTCTTTTAATCGTAATGATGAGATCCTTTGAGACCCGACAATCCATTCTAGAATTCTTTTGGTCTCTGATAATTCTTTGGGCGTACTAGAAACTTTAAGGTCTTCGAGAAATTTGATATAAATTTCTTCAACCTCTGGCGGTGATGCAGTAAGCGAGGCAATCAGCCCCTGGACTGTAAACCCTCTCTTGTTTTCGATCAAGAGCAAAAGTTTTCGAAGAACCAAGATGACCCAGAGCATCACGCCATTTGCGTGAGTTTCTAAGTACGCGCGTATTTCGCCTAGCGTATCCTCCTGTATCTTGAGGTTGTCATTGGAAGACTGGATTTTCTGAGACTGAGAGTCAGTTGAGACGTTGGAGTTTTCGTAGAAATTCGCCGGGTTGTCGTCTGAGTCGGAGGAGACTGCGTTGTGCCAGGCCACTCGAAGTTTCTTGATACCGCCTCCAATCATGATGGAAATATCTCGGTGGTTGTACTGCTCCATCTTAATCTCCAAGCAATTATTCAGCTTTTTGGAGATGACGGATTCAGGCCTGCTCAGCAAGACGAAGCGGAGGCGGCTGTTCCAGGCACTCGCAATCTCGGTAAATATCTGCAGTAAATCAAAATTCTTGTGCGCTGATTTGAGACTGGATGATCCTGTCACGCTCTCTGACTCGTCTAATGCGTCGATCACTGCGAGTGTTCGGGGCGTTGAAGGGCTGAGCGCGAGTGTCGTGAAAAGGTCTGACAGCTCCGATAGCAACCAGTCGTCATCCTGCCGTTCAGCATCGAATCTTGCTCGATAGATAGCTGTCGCAGATTCGAAAGTCGTCTTGCTTGAGCTTAGGATGTTGAAAGTAAGAGCGCGCAGCATCGAAGCATCTTTGGCGCCAAAATCAGGCCCTCGGGCTGAATAGAACCAGTCACATACGAACGGATCGTCATCAAGATCGCCGTTTGGAACATCCCTTTGAAGACGCCGTTGGATGTTCTTCGCTAGAACCGATTTGCCGCTTCCCGCTTTACCCATTATCAACAAGACTTTACCAGAAGATTTCCACTCCTGGAACTCTTCAGTTTCCCAGAGCCACTGGTTGGTGGCAGGCAGCGGATCTGCGACTTGATCTCGCCTTTGGTGCATGCCATCGAACCGCAGGCTTTCAACGCATTCTATCTGCTGTTAGGGCTCCAAGTTCGTTGTATAACACTCAAAAACCAGGGATGTATATACCTCGCCACTCCGTAGTTTCGTCCACAATGAGAGCATTCGACATGACCTCCGCCCATCTTGACTCGACGCCAGTGCTGTCTTTGCGAGAATCATCAACGCAAAGGAGAGCTCTGACACCATGGCCAAGCTCGGCGATCCATGTGAGCAGTCTCATACGAGCACTCTGGGATTGAAGCTCGAGACCGTCGAGAATCAGCACGACGCATTTGACATCCTTCCTGATATCCTCCAGACAAGCGCTCATGACAGTAGCAACCTTGGAAAAATAATCCTGAGTGAGACCTCTGATTTGACGATACCAGGAAGTGATCGTTTCCGGCACAGGCGAAGCAGGATCGTCGCCGTTAGCACTGGGCTTGAAGGAAGCCTCCGGCTCCCCGAAGGCTGAGCAAATTGAATTGAGAGCTTCTCTTTCTATTGGAGAAAGTCGCACAAGAATCTCAGCGAGCGAAGACTCGGGCCCAAGTTGCCCGCGAAGGAGCTGTGCGACAATGCACCAAACAACCTGTGCTTGATTCATTTGCTCACGACCAGATGTTGGTGACTGATTGGCGCCGGCCTCGAATGTCGCAAGGGAGAAGAACGCCACAACCGGTGACTCTTCCTTGCTGAGGAGCTTGCCTGAAGCTACTTGGAGTCCGATACCATTTGCGGCCGAGAATGAGTGAAGACCTTTCCGAAGCCACAACACTCTTGAATCGTGTTCACTCTCTCTTGGCTTCGCGCACCATGACTGTGCTAACTTGCAATAACGAAACCACGAGATGTCATCGTTCGTAAGATTTGTTTGAGCCGTCACTCCATATTCCATAAAATGCCCCCAAACTGCTGCTGTCTTCGCAACTATGTGAATAGCTTCTTGGAGTCCAAAAGCTGCTGCCACATCGTCAGGTTTGAGGATGATCTCAGTGGTGTCTGCACCCGTTGCTAACTCCATAAGCCGCCCCCGTAAGGTATCTGAGAATTTTCCGGTTAAGACCCATTTCAGACAAGTTTCCGGATTCTCATGTTGGAGCTGCTGGATGTGGTATATCAGGCGAGAGATATTTGAGTCTGCACTGTCCCCTTCGCTGCCTTCGAAGTCTATTCCGTCGATTACGATCACAAGAGGGCGTCTTTGCCGCGAAGCAGCATGTCGAAAAATTTCACCTAGCATGCGATGGAATAAGCCGGCTCGGGAGACTTCGGCTCTAGATATTTTGAGCTCGTGCCCAAAGGTGCAGTTCATTCGCGTCAGAAGCTCCGGTCCATCGGAATGCCGAAGCAAGACGTAGGCCAATCCACCGAGGATTGTTGACGTTGTGATGGGTGATAGTGGATCGCTTTGAGGATCTTTGCAAAAGAAGTAAGCCGTGATATCATCTCGATGATACATAAGAGGCCTAGAGGTAAGAACCGACAATGAGAACATGGAATGACCCAGTCCAGTCTCATCGTCAACGAAGATAAACGGCTTTCCATTTTGTTCCTGCAGATCGCTAGCAAGTCTTCTAGAGTCAAAAGATTTTGCCGAGCTCTGGTATCCAAACTGTTGACGAGATGCTGTGTCTAGATCGGGATGGATGGAAGACAGGTTGAAGAGAAACTCGGAGTCGCCAAAATCCAACGACTTTCGTACATAGCCTAAAGGCAATATGTTAGCTCCAAACTCAAGTTTGTAACGCAACCATGGTTCAAGCGTACTGCCACCGGCGGTAGACCGTTGAGATGGGAGCTCGTTTTCCAACTGCAGGGATTGGATATCAGCTGGCCCTAGAGGGATAGCGCCATTCCCTGTGCGGGAAATGGTTAGCGGGAGTAATCTTTCTTGAATTTGGGATTCATAAGGTGTACGCATACCAACAATTGTAAAACCTCTGCTTCGAAGTCGGTCAACTAGAGTAAGATTTTCACCCAGCACATGGAACACTTTTGAGTTAATTTCCTCAAGAACCTTGAGCATAACTCTGAAGCCATCCTCTAGGTTTCCCGTCAGACCTACGTGGATGACAAGCATTCGAGTGCCTAGTTCCGCTTTGGCATCGGTTAAACGGTTCGTAATGTTGGCCAGCTCAGTGTCATCCGCATCTTGTATCCTCACGGCACGAGCGAGTTTCCGAAGCCGGTATTTCCGGCTCTTCTTGTCCAGCTTTTTTAAAAGCTGTTTCAGCTCCTCCGCGATTGTGTTCAGTATCTCGAGCTGATGGATAACCGCAGGTGTCTGTAACCTGGGCTCCTCTCTGACGAGACTAGCCGTCTGCGAGGTGACTTGGAGTAACACGGAGATTTCGTCGAGCCTTTTTGGCGCGTTCTTTACTCGTTCTCGGGCTTTTTGAATTTCTTGAATGGTCTTCAGCAGCGCGCCAATGAGGCCGACAACGCTCGCGGCGGTCCCTATCGCGTCTGCCTGTTCTCAGTTGTGAGTCTGCTGTCGCGGAATGAGGTTGCACCAAGCTCTGTTTTCGGCGAACAGGGCTACTTACCATGTCTTTTGGTGTCAATGGTATTCGTTATGGTTCCTGTTCTTGTTCATGGATAGAAAACTTTGACCGGGCTGGCAGTGAGGTATTGAGAGAGTTGGGCCACACTTCGGTTGGACCGCACCTCGGCGGCTAGAGAACCACACAAGCGATGCAAGGCGTACTTCTCGTCCAGCGAATCACGGCTGCAGATCAACGAGCAAAAAAGCCTTGTTGCCCAGCATAACGCGACATCGAGGCAGAATCTCCCATCGCCTATGGCTCTGCATATCGGAGCATGTCCCCACATCTATCAATGCCATTTTGCCAGGTAAGACTTCATACCGACGCAGTACCTAAATCACGGAGAATCAATCCTTTCACTGCCAATCGTAGGACAGCCACTGGACAGTCACCTTGTATAACTATCGCCAAGGAAACGACTGGAGTCAGAAATAGGTTTCCTTGCTCAACTGTAATGTTGTTAATTTTGAATATGAGCCGCGCCTATTCATGTAAGTTTTGGGAAGCACAGGTCCGCTCAAGGCGAGAAGATGAAGTTCTGACTTCAGGGGCTCTCGGTTCGGAAGCGGGATGCGCGTTATGGTAGCTCAGGCACACCGAGAACTGGCTTCGGAAATGTCAAAACCCGCTCTCCAAACGATCGCCGACGGAGGTGATTAGATACGATCAATCTGAACGATAGCCGGTGGGTTGCAGCTTCATCAACAATTGGTACTCTTCTTCTCTACCATCCTTGGAAAGACGGGCGGCAAACGGCGAGTCCAATGATAAGAAGTTTGTCATTGGCATCAAATCCAAAAACGTTGGCAGACAAAGAGCGAGGCTAAGCCGTGAATGGAATCGGGATCCATTGTATCGCTTTAGCAATTGCCAGTGCGGGACGTGCGGATAGATGCATATTCAGATAAGGTATGGGTACGAAATATTCGGGTGGATAAATACCGCAACGCGTCCCCAAGCTTCCTTTTCTCTCGTCTTATTTTTCTGGCCCGCCAAACTTTCGCCAAACAAGACATCGAGCGCTTCACTCCGCCACAAAACGTTCAATTTGAGAGATAGATTGAGTCGAGAGCGCGCCAGAGGTAAGTCGCTCGCTCTCCGCAACAGCGCCGGGCCAGTCTACTACACCAGCCGTGTTCTCCCTGCTCCGTGACAGTGATCAACGTGACCCAACCTACCCAAACCCGGACTTTTTTGTGCCACTTTGACCTTTCAAATGGTTATTTGGCTTTCACAGGGTCCGGAGATTGACGACACGGGCGTGATTGTATTTCTACCCGAAATACGTACACGTCCCGCGCTTTCAAAAACTAGATCCCTCGCCTTATAAGCAAAAGTGCTCCTTCGTGAGCTCCGATGTGCCGTGCAGGAAATCTAGGTAGCGGCGCGTACATACAGCGACTATACTCTGATCTCAATCTTTTTACCTGCCGTAGTAGTGATATGAGGAAGACGGTGCCCAATCCCGGTGCTGATGGGGACGTCTTCCTGAAGAGTTTGGGTTCCAAGAGCCTTGGACTTGAAGAGGTATCGGACTTGGGGTTCCTACCTGGATGCCTAGACTGCAGGCCAGTAAATACAAAAGAACCGTCATTTGCCAGCAAATCAGAGAAGCCAGACACTGCGAGACGGACTTTTATCGAGAGTGAAGTATGTGAGTAGGTTGGCTTGACGCCATCAACCACGACATCACATCTCAAAGGCTCTCCAGAAAGAAGCCGCTCCCGATCCTCAGACTCAACCCCCAGCAACGCCCATAATCCCCTGCATCTACCCCGTCAAATAAGACCAAGGAGACAACCGCGACCCAAAGACACCTCATCGGTGAATAACATAGACTTGTATCTAAATCCGAAGGCGGATAGCCTCCCTCATGGCCGTGGACTTGCATCCCAGCATAATCTTAGCGGCACCACACTGGACGATCATCGACAAAATCCCAAAATTCCTTCTGGCAGCCTCATCACCAACGGCGCGAATGAGGCCCTTATATACCGATCACCCACTCTCCATCCATCCTGGAGACACGCGTTCGGGGTAGGCAAGTACCTACTAAGCTAAGACTAACCCTCTTCTCCTTGTATCGTCGACAGAAGGAGTCATCACAGCATAGATAGCTGCATTGGGTGGGACCCAGGATCTATACATCATTCATCTTAGCGTTTCTTCCGAAGAAGTTCACGACTGTCACGTAAGATGATCTCCCAAGGCATGGACTAATCAACAGCTCTCCGGTAATGACCCTAGATTCCATGACTAGACCACCTGTTGCGTCAACGTCAGATATGTCAACTAACAACCTGGATTGCAGTAGATGCGTCGATGGTGCTTCGTAACGACAACCAGATGAACCGGAACAGCGAGCTGCTGGCCCAGCGAAGACACAAGCACACATGGCATCAGAAATCACGGTAGAATTGATCATGAGAGAGAAATGTGTTTTGATTGCCACTCCAAATGCTCAGACAACTATCTAGCCCACCAGTTCCGGTCCATGACACTCTGCCCGTAGACAGTAGATGCCACATTGAGGACCACCCCAGTCAGAAAGCCATCCAGCCCATCCAGCGATTCTCTCCCAAAACGGTTTTTTTTTTGCGTTATTTTCTTGTTGATGTGAGTACCAAAAGAGGCCACTCGCTCTCCCAACAACCCAAGCCAAGCCCAGCTCATCCAAGAGACCTGCGCCACCTCGCAAGGCAGACGAGACACTCAAAGAGCCGGGTCAGGTTGGGCCCAAGAGAGCCGGAAAAAGCGTAATGATACTCGGGTATTTCTGCGGTTGTTCGTCGAGCCTGCCTTCTCGCAAGAAGCAGGGCATAGGCGTAGAATGCGTAACGGATCATGTCGAAACCTCCGTTTTGAGTTCGGGCGCCAAGAAGCAATATCTTGGCTTTGTCAGTCGACCGACGACAAACGCTCCTCCTCCTACCCCGGACGGAGGGCCTCCAACCAAATGTTCCCCTGCCAAAGAAAATGCACGACGATGAAAATCGTGCTCCGACAGACGCCGTTGGATGCCAGCCACCCCGTCGCCCTCCGTGTCATATCCCAACATCAGTCGTCTCCGCGATCGATTGATTAATACTCAAAAGACACCGCGGCGCATGAACCAGAGATGAGGTACCGAACCGCCCTCATCCCGTAGTGTTGCCGCCCTCTACCGCGAGGGCCAACTCCCCTTTTGTCCACCAGAAATCAAATGTGGCCCGCCATCCATGCGAACGCCGTTCCGGGCTGATACCGTTTCAGCCGCTTGTTTCCCCCAAACGCCGTCGTTAAAGAAGCACATGACATGATAAGATGGGAGCGGGTTATTTCCATGCCAGGGGTGTGGTGGCTCGTCTGACGCCAGACGTCACGCCCCGTGGTTGATGTTTGTTTTTTTCGATGGCTCAGCCTGTCGTCTTGTTCGTTCTGTCGTCTCCAGACAGCATGCATTTCCAGTCCGGGTAGAAAGTGCCCGTCGTCAGAAGGCCGAAGGAAAAAGAAAAGAAGCCAAACAAAAGACCAGTAAGATCCGTTGGGGTATGGTACAGGCCAAAAGTTTGCGAATATGTGACGAAGCTTTTGTTGCTTAGCGACGAGTCGTATAGGTCTGATCGAGAGTTTTTTCGTGTTTCGTGATCGTGAGTGGTGAGGGGGACCTAAAAGCTCATGATGGGCATGGATGAGATGCCCGACCCAGTCTAACCGTGCCGTGTCGCCTCCAAAATCAGGAGAGAATGAAAAGAGGAACTATGTACAATCCAAACAAAACGCAGCCACGTGTTCCGTCGCGACTGCATACGCCACAACGCCTTTCTAAAGAGAAGAGATGGATGGAACCTTAGGACATTTGTCCTTGGGGTTGGGGGTGACCCTGGCCTTGGCCTTGACCACGTCCCCGGCCGCCATAGCCGCCACGGTTCTGACCACGGTAGCCGCCACGGCCACGGCCACGGCCTCTACCGCCGCCCTGGTATCCATTCTGCTGGCCTTGCTGAGGCTGCTGAGTCTGCCAGTTGCCCGGTGCGGGGCCACCCTGCAGAGGCAATTGCTGGCCCTGGATCTGACCAGGCTGCTGGTGTTGCTGCTGCTGCGGCTGGCCCTGGCTAGGCTGGCCGGTGCGGAAGTTGGAAATGGGTCTCGGGATGGACTCGGGGTTCTCGTAGACATAGAGGGACTTGTCGATGCTAGCAGGAATGGGCTGGATCTCTGTTCCAAGGTCCTTCTCAATGTTGTAGAGGTTGAATCTGTCATCCCAGTTGATGAGGTTGATGGCCAGACCCAAGTGGCCATAACGACCAGAGCGACCAATGCGATGCAGATAGGTCTCAGCGTTCTTGGGGAAATCGAAGTTGATGACGACATTCACAGCTTGAATATCGATACCACGGGTGAGAAGATCGGAGCAGACAAGGTTGCGGCACACGCCGTTGCGGAAGTCGTGGAAAACGCGATTTCTTGCTTGTTGGGCCATCTTGGCGTGACTGTAGAAGCATGAGTAGCCCAGCTCGGTAATCTTCTTGGCCAGCAGCTCGACACGGTTGGTGGAGTTGCAGAAGATGATGGACTGGTTGATCTGAAGCTTGGAGAACAGGGTGTTGAGGCAGTGGACCTTTTGCTTCTCCTCGACAAAGGCATAGTACTGGGTAATACCGCGCAGTGTGAGCTCATCCATGAGGTTAATCTCGTACGGGCTGACCATGTTCTTGTCGGAGAAGTCCTTGACAGAGAGGGGGAAGGTGGCGGAGAAGAGCATGACCTGGCGGTCCTTGGGGTGAAACTGGAGGAGCTGCTCGATGACGGGGGTGAATTCGATGGAGAGAAGCTTGTCAGCCTCGTCCATGATGAACATGGGGCACTCGCTGAGGTCGGCAACGTTCTTGCCCGCGAGGTCGAGGATTCTGCCGGGGGTACCGACCACAATATGGACGGGATCCTGGAGGCGGATGATATCGTCCCGGAGACCAGTACCTCCTGTGGTGACCATGACGTTGATTCCGAGGTGCTTGCCGAGAGTCTTGCAGACTTGTGATGTTTGCATGGCGAGTTCGCGAGTGGGGACGAGGATGAGGGCTTGGATCTTGGAGACCTTGGGGTTGATCTTTTCGAGAGCGGGGATAACGAAGGCGGCAGTTTTTCCAGTACCGTTCTTGGCACGGGCGAGGATATCACGGCCGGTGAGAGCGACGGGGATGGCTTCTTCTTGAATGGGCGACGGCTTCTCGAAACCCGCCTCGAAGATGCCCATCAACAAGTCTCTCTTCAATTGGAAGTTTTCAAACTCCAGACCCTTGGTGTTTGTGACGTCCTGGAAGCAAGCTCGTGAGAAGGCGGACAAGAAGTGGTGAGGGGAGGGAGGTTGGCCTTGCCGGTACATACCTCAGTCTGCTGTCTGTTGTCTCTAGCAGGCAGGTTCAAGCTCTTCTTCCAGTCATCTGATGCGGCGCCATCGCTGCGGAAGTCAGTCCAACATGCTTTCAACGATGGGTTCCTCCTGGGAGATTGGTGGTGAGGGGAACAAACCTCAAGTTTGTTGCCTTGAGCTTGTCTGCGAGTGCTTCCGCCATTTGAATGTGTGTTTATGGAATATGTGCCTAATGGCAAGAGAAGAGGATGCGATGCGGTCGTTGAAGGTTGTTGCGCGAAAGGGCTTTGCTTTCCCCACTTCGCGATGTGTATCGAGGGGCGAGTCGTGCTCGGTAGGTATTAGGAAGTAGACAGGTACTGTGGGAGTCAACGACAACAATGAAGGGCAATCGTCGTTGAAGAATATTCGATATTCGCGGGATTGTCACTTGTCGCGTGGGGGTTCGTCGTGGGTTCCGTGGCCGAAGGGCAGCTGGTTGGAAGTGTGGATGGATGACCGGGACTCGGGCAGAGTTTCGGTGCAGGAAAGTCGAGGGATGTGGTTGGTGGTTGGTGGTAGTGGTGCGTTGTTCGTGGGTTGCGCGATTGCGAAATATTTGTGTCGTTTTTGGATGACTCGGGCTACTGAAACAGCGTAAAATGTGTTTCGTCCACGAGGTGCAGCGCGAAGAGGCTTGTGGGATGGTGGTTGGGTTTGCGTGGTTGAGAGGAGTATGATTGTGTGTGTGGTTGTGTGGAGGAAGAGTCGCCTGGGACCTGGAAGCAAGTTTGTGGTGGTGAATCCCCGGTCCCAGTGCATTCGGTGCGCATCAGCTGTGTCGTCGGGGCGGGACCCCTTGCCTTCCTGGTCTAGCGCTGCAGGTGGAGACACGTGACCTTTCACCGCAGGTAGTCGCTCCCCTACTTGAGAGTCTTGTCAGTTAGCTAAGGGCCTCGCGGGAGCTCTTGCTGCTTCTTGAGAGTAGTTCTATCAAGTTTGGTGTTGGTGTACGCATGCTGAATAAGCTTAAAATGCTCAATGTCTCTCAACACAATGATCAAAGTGCGGAAAGTGTCAGGGTAGGTCTTGGATCATGGGTGGTGACATTGACCCGACCCAGCTCACCGAGAGCTTCTCCCGCCATGCCATTCGTCCCTTACCGACCTCACCCCGGCGAGCCCTTCATCAGCCGATTGGTCTGATCCCTATCCTGTATGGAGTAGGCACAGTACGTACTCTCCTCTCCGTCCCCGCTCCACTCGTTTCCTGCAGCGGAGCTATCGGATCGGCTTGGGGGAGGAGCACTGGCAGACTGCAGTAACTGCCCTGGAAGGAAGACCACCCGGGAGTCTGAGCACTGAGCACTGAGCACGAATGCGTCAATTGGACGAGCCGCTGGTGCAAGTCGAACCACCGGCGTCCAAACCCTCTCACTCCCCAGGCCACTTACATCGCCGAGCTCTCTCGATACAAACCCCGACGACGACACCTCAAAAGATGCTCGTCCTCGATCCCGCCCCTCAACCTCCCTGAGATTCCTTTCCCAGTTAATCTACCCATTCAACCACAGCCATGGTCCTCAAGACGTCCTCGGCATTCGCCGTCTGCTCCAGCAACAACGTCCTGAACCTCTTCGCCATCCCCGCACACCACACATCCATAACGTCACCACCCTCACGACGACCATCCTCCGAACACCCCGCCTCACACAGCACACGATCCTCAACCTCACGATCCTACGCAACAGTACACCACAAACCTCCTCACAATGGATCATCAAAAGGGAAAGGCGGCACCGGCAGCCCATGGCCAACCTGCAAGAACCCCACCCCCTACGACATCTTCGCAATAGACAAAGCAGCACCCTACACAAAAGCCCGCTTCGCCGAGCTCGTAAAACAATACCACCCAGACAAACACCACGCCACAGCCCTCGACTCCCTCCCCGCAGCAACCCGCCTAGAGCGCTACCGCCTCATCGTCCTCGCAAACGAAATCCTCAGCTCCCCAGACAAACGCCGCGCCTACGACGCCTGGGGCTTCGGCTGGCACATCCCCGGCAAGACAGGCGCAGCACCGGAAGACATCAACGAAGTCTACCGCCGCGCCGATAAAGCATGGCGCCACGGCTACGCACGCAACGGCGGGGACTCCCCCGCCATGAACGCGACCTGGGAAGACTGGGAGCGGTGGCACGAACGGCAGGCTAACGGCGGAGCGGAGAGGCAGAAGCCAATGTACATGTCCAACGCCAGTTTCGCGGCGCTGGTTCTGGCCGCGTTGGCGGTGGGCACGGTGGCGCAGACGACAAGGATGGATAATAGCACGGCGACGTTCCTTGAGAAGAAGAATGCTCACGAGGCCAATATTAGCGAGGCGCTGAGACGGCAAGGCCAGGCTGTGGCTGGCAAAGGCCGGGAGGAACGTATCGAGCGGTTCGTGAGGGAGCGGGAGAATATCAATTTTGGGTTCATGCCGAGTAAATTAGACGTTCGGCCGGCGGCGACAACGAGCAGTCCAAAGTGAAGGTTTCTTGGGACTGGGGAAAGGTGAGGCTGGAAATACCCTGCTATCTTACACTCGTATTATCGAGTTCTTATGATGTTATGATACATAGTACAATATAGCGTGCATAGACGCACGTACATGGGGTCAAATATTCCCCTCTAGCAGGCAGAAAAGAGACTCAAAAAAGAAGAGAGAAATCAGTCCTGACGCGCGTCCGTCCGCTCCTTGATGAGCTGACGCATGACCTTTTCGGCGCCAGAGGGATCAATCCGCTCCGTCTCGCCAATGCGCATCATCTTGCCGACGAGGTACATAAGCTTGCCCTGGGGGTACTTCTTCTTCTTGTCCATGAACTCCCCTACGACCTTATCCTCCCCTTCAATGACCTCCTCTGCCAGCTGCCGATACTCTGGTTCCGTCATCTCCTTGAACCACAATGCGTGTGTCTCGATGGCGTCCGTGACGGAGTCGAATTCGTCTAGGTTACCGAGATACTGAGCCACCAGGAGCTCCTTGGCGACCTTGCCTGTGATATCCCGCTTCTGGAGGTGGAAGAGGATCCCGGCCAGTGCGCGATGCGGCACCGCTTCGCAGGAGCCGTCTGGAGAAATCGCCAGCGTTCGCTGAGCAGCTTCCGGGTCGGCCTTGTCCGTCGTCAATCGACCCAGCTCATGGAGGATCCAGTTGCCGGCGAGGGACGCGTAGTCGTGCAGGTTGGTCTTTAGTCCAGCGCTCTCCAGTTGATCTCGGAGCTCGTCAACGACCTTGTAGAAGAACTCGAGCCTGCCGCCATCGTCGAGAGACATGAGGGAGACGGCGTCCTTGGCAGTCAAGCCATAGGTCTCAATCAGCTCCGTCAGCTCAATGTCAGGTAGCTCCTTGACGGAGGCCCTGATGTGATTCACGAGATCTTGGCCAATCACCAGAGGCCCCAGATCGGGGTCCGGCATGTAGCGGTAGTCCACCTCGCCTTCTTTGCCTCGCAGACGGCGAGTATGCTTGGAGCCCAGTGTCCAACCTCTCGTCTCGCTCGCAATCGTCTCGCCCGCATCGAGCGCCTTGATCTGCCGGTCGCGCTCGGCGATGATGGCGTCTTCAACGGCCTTGATCGTGCTCAGGTTCTTGATCTCCGTCCGCGTACCGAGCGGGGTATTCGGATCACCTGTCCTCCGCACCGAGACGTTCACATCAGCACGCAGACCACCCGTCTCCATCCCGGACACGCAGGCATCTACGGCATTTAGCAGCATCTGGATCTTGCGGACGAACACGGCGGCGGTGCGCGGGTGGTGGAGCTCCGGCTTCGTGATAATCTCAATCAGAGGCATGCCTACACGATTGAAGTCAAGCCAGGACACGTCGTTGGGCTGCGCCAGCGTCTTGGCGGTGTCCTGCTCCATCTGGATCTGCTGAATGCCGATTGTGACACTCTCACCGTCCTCCGCGGCGATGCCGTCCCTAGCAGTGAGCTCGATCTCGCCGTTACGAGCAAAGGGCTCATAGTACTGCGTGATCTGATACCCTGATGGCTGGTCCCACCAAAAGTAATGTTTCCTGTCGAACCGGCTGACAGGTTGAATGTCGCAATTGAGAGCACACGCCGCGCGCAACGCCGGTATGAGGGTCTCCTTTTGGAATCTCGGCTGAGAGCCCGGCATGGCGACATCGAACAGCGCTACGTGGGAATTTGGGTCGTCACTGAAAGACGTCGCAGCCGGCGAGAAGAGCTTCCGTGCCGTGTTGAGCTGGGCATGGATCTCAATACCGACGGTCAACTCCCAGCCATCGACGGTCTGGTTGCTTCCCTTTGGCTTTTGGCCTCTTGTCTCCTTTTTGAGCTGCTTCTTCTCTTCCTTGAGCTTCTTTCTCAACGGCACCGGCGGCGCTTCTTGCGATGCTGCCGTCGCGGTCTGAGCTGTAGCGTATGTTGCCCTCGATTCTCCAAGCCGAGGAGCCGATGACAGGGCTAGAGCGGAACGGGCCGGTAGGCGGGTGTATGGTCGTCGGGTCGAGGCCAAGCATCCTTGGCGGGAGAGTTGGCCGTGGAAGAGGTAGCGGGCCAGCTCGCGGGTCGGTATGCGCGCCATTCTGGGAGACGGGTGTCGTTTCGAGGTATAATCGGTGGTAGTGGCTGTCTTTTGCGGCTTTGTTCGGGGGCTGCGAGCTTTGCGCTCTCGTTGGATGGGACGGCCGAGATTTCAAGGTGACTGGAAATGTGAAAATCAAATTGCTTGGCGCGTATGTTGTACACCCTCCTCTACGCAGGACTCGTGTCGGTCGACCAGTGGCTACGAAGCTTCTCTGGATGGGGGCTATGATTGGAGGGGTAGACTTGGGCGGGCAGGAGGTTCAGATTTGTTGCAGTTCGCCACCATGCGACCATTGAAGGTTTTCGTTTGGATCGTGTGCAGCTTAGCTGGTGGTCGGGTCGTCGGTGTCTCCCAGATTGATCTTTGGGATAGCTTGCGATAGCTTCATGAGAACCTGGGAGCTCCCGTCGCATCAAAAATGGAATGGAAGCTCCCAAAGATACGTACCCTTATTTTTCGGGCCGCATGGGCTTCCGGGCCTCTTCGGATCCGTCCCATAACGGAAGTGCCAGGTTCTCAAGCTCGGGTGCTGACATAATGGTGCATTGCATCCATCCCCTAAGGCAAGGCAAGAATGGCGCACATGCGCTGGAAATCAGTGGAGTGGGTGCCACGCAGACAAGCCATGCCGCCCTGCCGCCATGCAGCTAACGTTTGCCCGTCCGTTGTGGGAACGTCCCACGGCACTGGAATGGAACGTTTGGGTCGCCGTTTACGCTTCCATTTCCGTGTCTCCTGTCTACCTTGGTACTTCAACATTACCAGGGTGTTTTCTACGTTGCAAGTTGCTCCAAGTTATTCTGCCTTTGACATATCTCGATTTAATCGCATCTCAACTGCAACAAGGTTCAGTCAATACGGAGTACCACAACGTCAAGCCCACCACCCGAATGCCACCACATGCCACCACATCCATCTTTCAGCTCAGCCCAACGCCGGTGCCCGTCCGTCACACACACACACACACACACACCTCAGAAGTTGGAGCTCGCTGGTCCAGTATTCCTGGTCATCTGAAACAAATCCGTCAACGGCTGACACACTCTTCACCCGATCACACGGCGCTGCTTTTCCACGTTTTCTTGCATTTCCTTTCCTTGCCTCCCATTCTCCCTTGCCCCCTATCGAGAAGCTGAAGCAGTCGCTCCAACGATGAAATTTCCATCCCACCAACTGCTCTCTCTCCCTCCCATTCTGCTCTTAGGGAAATGATCCTTCAGATGCCAGTCGCCACTCACACAAACTCGATGCCCGCTACCCTCACCGCGATGCTACCGCAGTCTCTGCCGCTGTCATCCTGAAGCCGTTCCCCAGAATCTGAACTGAACGTCCCAGGAGTTCCCCAACCCGATCTCGTCCCTCCCAAACTTCTGAGCAAGCGTTTGAGGGCACACCCATTCCTCAACTCTCCTTTATTTTCGTCTTCTGCTGGAGCCCGGCACTCCCTTGTGCGCTTCTCATCTTCACTGTCAACCAATGCGACCTTCTAGTAATGTGTATTAAGCTACCGCGACCTCGTGTGCGACTCGCAGTAGCCCTAGATCTACTAATCTGAGACATCCTTCGCCATACAACGGGCCACATTCCAGTTCGTGTCACTTCGAATATCCGTACATTGCTATACCTACTCGAGCGATCCAGCTACTCAACCGCGAGGGACACCCTAACTTCGGTTCGGCGTCCCGTTAAGCTTAACTCAAGGGAGAGATTCGCCCAACTCCTGATCCCGACGTCCATCACTTGATTCAGGCCGTACACTCAATACACCAGAATGTCCACGGCTTATCACCCTCCTTCGGTGGCCGATGTCCCTGTCACCACCATGGACGACTGCCACACCACAGATCAAGGGTGGCTAGCCTCGGACCCGGTCGACGAGCTCATGCGCGTCGTCGACGCCGTCCCGGCGCCGGCCCCCTCGTCGCCGTTTGCGCAGGCCACCAGCGATAAGGCTGTTGTGCCTAGAGATTATCCAGACCATCACATGCCGGCCGACGACACGTCAACGCCAGTTGGACTCCCGCGATCGCGCCCCAGGAGCGCAACTGTCCGGAGGCACTCGTCCATGCCCGCCCCCAACCCAGACTCGCCGACGCGACGTCGCATCTTTGGCATGGAGCCCACGCGATCTGTCTCCGATCAACTCATCACTACCGCGGATCAAGAATCTTCCTCAGATGAGACGGTGATCCCTGCCGAGAAAGAACAGGACCAGGAATCGCCAGTCCGTCCAGCATCACCTACAGAGTCTACCCTCACCAGCTTCACAGCTCTCACTGAGAGAACTCACGGCTCCGGCAGCTCCAGTGGCAGCGGCTCAAACATCACTCAAGCATCGTGGCCCAGGCGCAGAGGAAGTGAAAAGTCGCGAGCCCACGACAAGTCATACCTCAAAACTCGTCGCCAAAGCCGCTCACCAAAGACCCAACAGCAGCTCTCCTCATCAAACGTCTTGAGCTACCTCGAACCAGACTCACCCAACATAACCCCTGAAGCCATCCAGCGCTCCGTCGAGCAGTCGTCCTACTGGAGGATGCCCGACCCCGCCGCCGCAAGCTACCAGTCGCCCTCGACGCGGAGCACAACCTCGACTGCCTCAAGCAGCTTCCAGAGCGATGTCTTCTCCGAGATGGGCGCCGGCGACCAAGAGACCGACAGGAGCAGCAGCCCAGATCACAGCATCTACGGAGACTCTCCCTCCATGCCCGGCAAGTTCGAGGTCCCCATGCCCCCCGGCCACGGACACGGCCAACGGCAGCGCGACTACCGCCACTACGGCACCCCCGAGATGCCGCGCGGGACCGCAAATCTGCCTCACCTTCCACCCAACGCTCTCCAGCCCCGTCTCCCCGGCACGCATCACGGCCACCCAAAGCACCTACCCAGGGCAGAGAAGCTCCCGCTCACGGGGTACGAGCTGATCGCTTCCAAGCTATGCGCCGGCGACGACACGGAGAGGTCAAGCATCAAGCCCATCTACCGGCGCTTCGAGGCTCTCAACCACCGCCTGCTGCTTCACCTGCAGGACGAGCTTGCCGAGCTGGAGGAGCAGCTCCACCGCCTCGACACGGCCGACACGCAGACGCGGCGGATGCAGAACTGCTTCCTGCCAGCGTCGAGGAGACAGGACTCCCTCACCGCGGGCGAGCTACAGTGGCACAAGACGGATATTCTAGGCAAAGTTGGCTATAAACTCAGCCAATACAGTAAGTCACCCCTCATGTCAATCCCACAATTTTCTCTCCCTCTAACACGGCCACAGACCACGTCCTCTCATCCTTCAGAGAGACACAGCACCTGCCCAACCCAGACCCCCAAGACGTAGACTTCTACCGCGCCTACCTCGCAAACCACAACCCCATAGTCGAAATCGAAACACGCTTCCTCGATCCCGCAGACGACCTCGTCTCCCTCGCCCGCCCACCCTCTTCATCATCATCCGCCTCAAGCTCCAGCTTCTCGAGCGACGACCTCCGCACCCCTCAACCGCGCAACGCAAAATTGCCCTCCCTTTCCTCCCTGCTGACTCCAGAAAGTCAAAGCGCAGACAGGGCGGAGCGTATCCGTCGCCTGCTCATCTCGGCTCTGACGGGGTACCTGCCCACCCTCGCCATCGCTTTTGCCGCAGCGTTCTTGCTGCCGATTCTCGCGTTTGCAGTGATTCCGGGGTTCGTGGGGCGTATGGCTGTTGTGTTGCTTGTTGCTGTTGGCGTTGCTGCTGGTGTGGTGCAGGCGGGTTTGTTCAGTCGTCTTGGGGCGGATCGTCCTGCGAGGGTGGCTGCTACGGAGGGGGTGTTGGCTTCTGGAGTTTATGTTGGTGTTATGGCTGTTGTTGCTGGGATCTTTGGGTGAGGGTAGGAAAGAGTGTAATGTGTGGTTTGATGGTTTGATGGTTTGAGGACTTGGTGGTAGATGATGATTTAATGATGAATGATACCCCTTCCTCAATTACATCTTTACTTTCAGGCTTTGTTCATCTGTATTTTGAGTGGCTTCACTGCGATACCTTGTGTTTCTTAATTCGTCGCACGACTTTTGGTTTACGAATATCTACATCGCCAATGGGATTAACTTATTCTTACTATCGAAGTACTGATATGTCCCAAACTACTAGTGTTACCTTCGTCCTTCACCTTTAAGAAGCCATCTTCATTTTCCACTTTCAATAATCTCATTGCGAGATTGCAATCTACCAAGAGAGACGTTTCAACTTCATCTCGCATCAGCCTATATTCCCTCCATCACTCTCTCGTCCAAGTTCGCTGAACACCTCAGTAGATCTTACGCACTGCCTTCGCTTTCCTCGTCTCCGAGAACGTCGCCGTAGGCGTACGGCCGTCCTGCTTTCCTCATGCTCTTGAAACCGCTCATATAGGGGTCATTTAGGGTCGGCGCGTGATGCTGAGCGTCATAGCGAAGGACGCAATCAATCTAGAGAGCCCTCACTCGACGACGAATTGTCAAATATCTTTGCGGGAAACTTGGGGGAGCATAATTATTTCGTCTCATGTTCATACTCCGTCAGGCTTAAAAGTGTGACTCCCAACGAATCTATGCTTCACTAGTAGAAGACTGTGGTGTTTATCTACACACATCCAAATCTGATGTTGGATCGATTCAAAAGTTCTGTCTATCCATTTGCCATTCTGCTTAGCCTTTCTGTTCAGACAGAAAAGAACAGTGACAATATTAGGACATATTTCAATGACTGTGCATGTTTTTCCTTGTAGCTAGGGGCTCTGACGAGACGGAGTCAATCCTCAGCCTCACATTTTCAGCCTTGTTGACCAGCTTGCCGACCACAGTGGTACCGAAACCACACGCCGCTCTGCGAAAAGCTACTTTCGCTTTCTCACATCTTGACACCTCGTTCATTCAAATTTGACAAAGTTCCAAATATTCATGTCATAGCCGCCGGGATAACGCCATCAAATATTCTCTACTTGTAAGTTGTCAATCCGGCATCCCACTCCATAGCGGTAGTAAAACAAACGATC